GTTTCCCCAGCCAAGCCCCCTTTCGTCTCTCCCTTTCTCCCCAATCCAGGCTTCTACGAAGACCCCAGCTCCACGGGAGGTCCTGACTCTCCACCCTCGACCTTCTGTGGGGACAGTGGCTTCTCTGGATCTGGCTCCTATGGACGCCTGGGTCCCTCTGAACCCCGGGGCATCTATGCCAGCGAGAGGCCCAAGTCCCTAGGTAAGGTGGGTGGGTGGGGCCCTGACGGCCAGGGAAACGACCGCGAGAAGATGGTCTTGAGCACACTTCTGAGTCAAACCAACCTGAATTCGAATTCTGGCCGCGGCATCCCCTTTCACGTGGTGTTGAGCCTGTCACTTCTCTCTGGGCCTCTGTTTCTCCATCTGCTCAAATGGGGTTAATAGCAGTGCCTGCCTCCCAGGGAACCTTTGAGTATTCAGCGAGCCTCGGCCTTAGGCATTGAACTCGGCACAGGGAGCCTCTCAGTCATCAGGAACTGCTGCTGTTCATTTACACCAGTTCCTGCGCCCCGACTGGACTGGGTGCTGTTCTAGCCCTGTTTGGGGGTGAGGGATACAGCAATGAAAAAAACCCTGTCCTCACAACTGACACTCTAGTGGGTGAAACAGGTAACATACAAGATAACTAAGTGCACTACATGGGGTATTAGACATTGAGAAGTGCAATGAAAAGGAAACTGGGGAAGGGGACTAGGGCATGTCACTCTGAGTTGGGGAGAGAATCGCAATTTTACAAAATATGCTCAGAGAGGGCATCGCTGAGACTGTGACATTTGAGTGGCACCACGAAGTGAGGGAGTGGACCAATCAGGTATCCCGGGGGAAGAGCATGGCAGGAACTGGGAACAGCAAGTGCAAAGGCCCTGAAGCAGAGTGCGACTGGCCTCTGCATCCGGAGGTCACTCTGGCTGGAGACCTAGAACCATGGAGGAGCGGGTTAGAGTGGAGAGGTCAGCGAGCGGAGCCGGGCAGGTCACGCCGGGCTCTGCAGGCTGCTGTGAAGATGTTAAGAACCGGAAACAAGGGAAGGGGGGAGGCCAGGGTTCCTTCCCTTCCACTCTGCCTTTCCTTTCCTATTTTATTTTTTCTTCCTTTCCTTTCTTTGTGATGGGAAGGGGACATAGTGGGGAAGTGCCCCTGTAGGCGCACAGGGAAGGGGCTTGAGAGCCTCTCCCACTCTTCCTTTTACATGTTGCTTCCTCCACCAGGAGACGCCAGCCCCAGCGCCCCCGAGGCGGCGGGAGCCCGGGCACCAGTC